ATATATATATATATAAGTATAAACAATATAAATAAATAAATAAACAAACAAATAAATAAATAATAAATAAATAAATACATAAATATATATATATACACATACACACACACACACATACACACACACAGACACACATACACACATACATACATATATATATACATACATACATACATACATACATAGAGATAGATAGATAGATAGATAGATAGATAGTAGATAGATAGATAGAATCACGGCTGTTGCATTCTGGGGCCGCGGCAGGGGTATCCACGAAGCCGAAGGCAGCGCTTGAGCCCTGGAAGGGTCAACGGGCAAGGATTTGTTGGTTCCCAACAACGTGGATCCGGTCTTTTCTTTAGACTTTAGACCCGGAGGCAAAGCCTAATTAAGCCCTAAACGTCAACGGGGACGCAATTTGAAGGGCTGCGTCCTCTGGCTGACTCCAGCTCGAGGGCTTTGTAGTTTCGGGGTATCCGGCTTCGCGGTCGGCCCTCGGGGTTGGCATGCTCCACTCTGACCCTTTCTACCGAGCATCCGTGCGAGGGAACACTCAAAGGCTTGACGAACTGCACATGTATGCATGCACATGCATGTGCTTGTATACATACATATGTATGTGTATATATATATATACATCGATGTAGTATGTATGGGTGTGCATGTATATATATATATACTATATACACGCACACAGGATATGTAGATTAAAACCCGATGCTGTTCGGGTCCAGGAACGGGAGCAGGCTTTGGCAGACAGACAGACAGATAAACAGACGTAGAGTCATAGAGATACATAGACATAGACAGAGCGATACATCGATAGATGGATAAATAGATAGATAGATAGATAGACAGATAGATAGATTTGCCGACAGATAGACAGATGGATAGATAGATAGATAGATAGACATTTTAGTCTTTACTTGACGTGGTATCAACTGCGCACTTCCAATTTCTGGTGGCATATTCAGATCCTGTGTTGGGCGCAACGGGCTGCATTTGTCAGCCGAGGACAGACTGCAACGTCTGAGATGTGGGGACAGATCGAAGAGCCATACCCCTCTTCTTCAAACGAGGCTGCTGATTCTAAATACCCGATGCAACCGTGCCACGTCCGACACTGGTCGAGCTGTACAAGCTGCAGGTCCGGCAGAACTTCAAACATCGTCCGTACCCACACGGTCTTAAACTTCACAGAGGCGTAGATGGCCTGGAGTGGCTGTGAAGTGAGTATCAGGGTCACACGTACTCGAACCGAAGCTTCCCTGAAACTTGCTCCGGAGCTCTGTCGGTCGGGGCGGGCGATCCACCACCGCGAGCCCCACCACCGCATCGTGCATCTCACATCGGCAGACCTTCCAGACTCTCAACATCAGGTCCTTGTTCAAGATGGGGGCCCGTGGTGCTTGGTCCTTGACCTCGCTCCGTGGAGCTGCTGCAGAGAGCAGTGTCGCCATCGGATGGTTCTTGCGTCGATGCTATGCGTTACTACGAGGGGATTGATTGGACTAAGGATCTTGCGACAGCGATAGCAGGATGCAGTGATGTGACTTCAATGTCGAACACAAGTTTCTCCAGCGATGGCTTTTCGCCCTGTTGAGCCTCTCTGCGAAGATGCTACGTCTGCTACAAGCCTCAAGACATGTCCTTTTGGCGCACTCTCAGAAACCTGAAGGTACAAACAGACTAGTACGTCCCGATGCTTCGGCTCCTAGGCGACCGACATTGTTCTCGCACAAGTCACAGGCGAGACGGAACACGCACCGAAAGGCACTGAACCCCAGCCTGCGTCATCACGAAGCGGAGGGAGGCCAAGACGGCAAAGAGAAGCAGTGAGGCAACGGCCAAAGGCAGTGCGCCTGGCGACGGTGCTGCGATGAGCACTGGGCTGCGACCATGCGACTTGCTGCTACAATGCCAACTGTGCCACCTCTCTGCGACAGAGCACAACAGCAACTCCATACTGCGAGTGGGTGTTGTCATGAACGGCCAGGAGCAGCGATTCTGTAGATAGCTTTGTGTTACAAGCACACATCTGCAATCAGTACTACAAAGAGGAGTGCAAGCTGAACCCCAAGTGGCTGCCTGTGGCCAGGCATCGCTGGCGGGGTTTGCAACCTGAGAATGGGAAGCCACCCTTGTCTCGGGAATCTGTCGTATGGAAGGAAAAGGTAATGTCATCGTTCAGATTCAGGCATTTGTCAAATTTCCTAGTCTGCAATGGGTGCATCTGGAGTTTTCGCAAAATTTGGAACCTTAAAAATTTGAAGTCGCGCACGTACGTATCCTCATCTGGCATGGAACGTCGCCCCCAGGAAGCGTAACCCAGGCCTGAAACCCTAGCAGCTCAAAGACGGAGCACCCTCCAAATGATGTAAGCGAGTTGGACCACTAGATTCCTATAGAGCCGCAGACTCATAACAAGGTGACAGTTGCAGCTGGAGAGAGGGACGGAAACGGAGAGAGAGAAAGAGAGTAACCATCCATGTCATACCCCTCTGAAGAGTAATTACGAGGGTTGCGGCCAGACGAAAACATTGGTGGTGGTGCTGGCGGTGGTGGCTTTTGTGTGTTCAGGCTGTTGGTATCCAACCTCACTGTCTTCCGTTGTTAGCCTGCAAGATGAAAAGCCTGGCCATGTCGAAACCCTTTCGTAGGGTACTTCTTTGCATCTGGCTACGGGAACCCCCCCCCCAGACACTGCTCGCCACCCTGAGGCAGGGGGGTCTGAGCGCACTGCTGACTAGCTCCAGTCCGGCGGTGAACACCAAGAGCCTTGGACCATTGGACATGCACGCACGAGTGCAGGATGTATAACTCTCAGATTGTCTCGTAGGCTTAAGACATGCAAACCTGAATTTGGCCCCCGCCCTCCCCCCGAAAAACAATCAGCAAATAGTGTTTGAAGGCCTGCCTCGAGGATTATGCAGTGCGACACGGCAAGCTGCTAGGCTTCGGGCGTAATTCCCATCTCCTGCCAGGGTGACCAGGGGCGCCTACAAAGTCCGAAGAAGCCATAAGCCCGCATGCTTCAACCAAACTCCCTAAACCACGCCTTGCAGAGGCAGGACACCGTGGCCAAGAGGCCGCAAAGCATCACCTCCAGTCTGATGTCCGAGGGGCCATAAGTGCAATCATGTTGATGCTTGCTGCTTCTGATTGACCATTGAGGATGCTGGTTCAAAGTGATAGTGTTTGCCGCGATGACTTGGATGCTGATCACGATGTTGTTGATCATGCTGAGCGAGATGAGATGGGGAAAAATAAACTTTGATGATCATGATGATGATGATGACGACGATGATGATGATGAATGTGACGATGATGCTGATGATGATGCTAGGCGCAAGTTTGGCACGAAAGACCTGGGACACAACGGGCTACTCCCAACTGTCAATGTGACCACATGTGGCCACCCTTCGCAGCTCATCGTTCTGATGATCGTGATTAGTCCCACCAGTTTTAGTAAACTTTTGGTAGTGTTACAGTGCTACTATCGTCATATCCTATACTTGCCCCATCTCAGGCGGCACCAGCAGCGCGCAGGCCAAGCGCGGAGGCTTCTCGGAAGCCTGCCAAGCTGGCCCTTTCTCGAGGAGGTGCGACTTGGCACGGGGCAAATATCTTATGCTGATGCTGTGACGGGCCTCTACTTGCCTCTAGGCCTCTATAGCCTTCCATAAGCTTCCAGACCGTCGAGCCCTTTATGCTGACGCATTAGCCTGCCACGCCCGTCTCGCACGGATCTGGGCAATGGCTGCCAGAAGCCATCCAAAAGTGGCAAGAGCATCTGCACCTACACAGATCTGCTCTCGGGAGTTTTCAGGTTTTTGGGGCTGAGGCCAGACTCCAAACAGTGTAGGAGAACTATTTGGCAGTTGCTTTGAAGTTCAGTGCAACTATGGTTCTATCATGTCCACGTGAGGCGTGGCCGGCAGGTGTGCAGCTCCCGCTGCGGCGGTGCACGTTTTGGACTACAGATGCAATTCTTTCCACAGTCCCACTCGGCCCCGACTGCCCGGGACCACACTGAGCTCATTCAAAAATCCACTACTTTGATGAGGGTGATGAATCACAGTCCCGCCAGATCGTGCTCCGGCAACAGTCCGGCATGGCATGTCAGGGTCTTGCTGTGACCCCAAACCCAGGCAAATAAACTCGAAACTATTCCTAAACCCAAATAGACCTCCTAAACCCCAATACGTATTCTCGAAATAGGGAATTTAAGCACATCCAGTTCGTCGTCGACGTCTGTGCTTATGCCACCCTATAACATCCCAAAACCTCAAGCCACAATGACGAACCCCCGACTCCTTACACTCGAAACCCCAAAGCTTCACCCAAGGCGAATAGCTCTTAAACACCTAAACACCAAATCCCTAGACCTTACATGGAGATTCAAAATCGCTACACCCCGCTGTGGTACTGCTGCGGTCTATGCTGGCATCATGCCTTGCCCGAAGAAGTACACACTGGTTCTGCAAATATCCTCTGGATCTGACAGAAACACTATACTACATAACATAATACATACTATAATTAGACTATAATGCATACTATACTACATACCAAAATATATACTTTTGTACATACTGCAACAACTCTCTCTCTCTCTATATATATATATACTATAGGTACTATATACTCTAATCCCAGGCCTCTCTAGCACTGTCCCGGAGTAGTCTGGGATCCCTGAGGCCGCTACGACCCACGAGGTACACGATGTTCTCCACCTTGCCATACCCTAACCCCCCAGATACCTACTAGATAGGGTACTAGAGCCCCTATAGGGCCCTATATAGTAGGTACCTGGAGGGTTAGGGATAGTGCAACACCGTTGAGGGTTCAGGGCTGTAGGGTTCTGAACCTGCGGAATTCGGCTTCGGTTGGGTTTAGGTTTAGGGGTTTAGGGTTTTGGGCTTAATTCGGTTGAGGAGGCGTGTCAACCAAGGAACCCAAGCTCTCACCGCGAAGGCGAAGTCAGTTGCTTCACGAATGCAACCTCGAACCTGAACTGAAGTCCTACGCATTCACAAGCATGAAAAGGGGATGCTCCAGAGGCATAAACTCCATGTTTTGTAGAGCTTTTTATCTAGTCACTGTAACTTCGACTGCATCCGGGCTGATGTCACCACCCAAAGCCGTGCTGCCGGAGCCACATGGACGGGATGTGCCGCAAAAAGTGCAGCGGCGATGCAGCTCCACCGCCGATGGAGGTCCAGTTCGCGCAACAGGGCCCTGGGACGCAGATGAATCTGAAAGATTTCTGCGTGCTTCGAACTGCCATACATGATATACACACACACACACGTTCAGGCTCTAAGTCACAAGGAGATGGCACTAAGAGTCAGATCATCTTCGACGAGGGGCAGGACGAGAAGCGAGTTGGCCAAGTGAAGAGCGGCGTTGAAGGTACGGAGAGGCTGCGGTCGAAACAGGTCCTGCCGACAAGGAGGCTGCAACCCTGCTCGCAAGGAAGAAGGGCAAAGTATACTATAAGGTGGGTTTTTCTATCAGGATGAATACGGGATGCGCGATATACCTCTTTGCCTCAGCAGCCAAAAAACAGGGCAGGACACAAGACCTGTTTCACAGATAAAATTAT